CGACAATTTAAACATTCAAGTGTGCGAGTTTTTATTTTATATTTTGCCTTTTTTTTTCTTAATATATAAAGCCATCTTTTCCCAAGACGAAACTTAAAAGATGATTAAAATGGTACATTTTTGGAAAGAAATATGGATTTTGCAATAATGGGGCGGAGCCCAATTGCAAACTCGATATTTTCGTATATACATTTTCCATTTAAAACATGTTTTAAGTTTCATGTTGTGAAAAGAAGTCTACACATATTAAAACCAAAAGGCAAAATTTAAACCCGCCCACCCGTCCTATCTCAATTGTGATGATTTTTTTTATTCGCCGTGAACCAAGAGGGCGGAACTTAACTGCAAAATACTTATTTCTATACAAGAAATTAAAAACATACTTTTGAATATCGTGTTGTTCCAAGAATACTGAGTATATTAAAAAAAAAGGCAAAATATAAACGCCGCCCACCCACCCCATCTACTTATATTTTGCCTTTTTTGTTAATATACGTAGTCGTCTTTTCAGAAAAAGAAACTTAAAAAATGTTTAAAATGGTAAATTCTTTAGACAAATATTGATCTTGCAATTAAGCCCCAACCCTCGATCTGGCAACGAATGAAAAATTCATCATGACTGACAATTGAGATCGGGGCGAGTATTTTTTCATTCTTCGAATTTTCGATTTCTCGAATTTTTAATTTTTCGATTTCTCAATTTTCCGATCTTTCAATAATACGATTTCTCAATTTTTGTCCTTTTCAACTTTACGATTTTTAAATATTTCGATTTTTCAGTTTTTCAAACTTTGACGTTTCTAAATTTTCAGTTTTCCGATTTCTTTCATTTTCCCATTTCTCGCTTTCCCAAAGTTTGTAATTTTCAATTCTTCAATTTTTCAATTTTTCGATTTTTTCAACTTTCGATTTTTCAACTCCTGGATTTTTTGATTTCTCGATTTTTTACTTTTTGGCTTTAAATTTTTCGCTAAACTTTAGATTTTTTAATTTTTCGACTGTTTTATTACTTCGATTTCTCAATTTTTCAACTTTCGAAAATCAATTTTTAAAATTCGGAAAATTATTTAAAATTTCTCGATTTTCCAAATTTTTTGATTTCAACATTTATCAGTTTTTCAATTATTTTCTTCTCGGCTTTCGACTCCTTCGATTTTTGGATTTCTCGGTTTTTCGATTTTTGAGTTTTGGACATTTCTCGAGTTTTCATTTATCCGATTTTTCTGAGCTTTCGATTCTTCGATATGTCGATTTTTCAATTTTTCGATTTTTAAATTTTAAATTTTTATTTTTTTACTGGACATTTGAATTTCTGAATTTTTCAATTTTGCGATATTTTAATTGTTCAATGTTTTAAATATTAGACTTTTTCATTCTCGATTTTCTGATTTTTCAGTTCTTCAGTATTTCTATTTTTCAATTTTTCAAATTATGACGTTGCTAAATTTTTAGTTTCCTAATTTCTTAATTAACCTATTTTTGATTTTCCCATTTCCCGACATCTCAAAGTTTCGATTTTTCAGTTATCAGTTCTTCGATTTTTCGTGTTTTTCGACTTTGCTTTTTTGGTTCTTCGATTTCTCAATTTTCCAATTTTTTAATTTTTCAATTTTTGGATATTTCTTTCAGTTTTGGAATTTTTCAATATTTCGATTGTTCGATTTTTCGACTTCTGGATTTTTTGATTATTCGATTTTTTATTTTTTGGAATTTTAATTTTTTTGATTTTCAAACTTTAGATTTTTCAATTTTTCGACTGTTTTATATTTCGATTTCTCAAATTTTCAACTTTTCGATATTTTAAAATCTGAGCTTTCGATTTCTCTACTTGTCGATTTTTCAATTTTTCGATTTTTAAATTTTAGATTTTTCAATTTTGCGATATTTTAATTGTTCGATCTTTTAAATATTAGATTTTTAGATTCTCGATTTTCTGATTTTTCAATTCTTCAGTATTTCTATTTTTCAATGTTTCAAATTATGACGTTACTAACTTTTTAGTTTTCTAATTTCTTAATTAACCTTTTTTTGATTTTCCCATTTCCGACTTCTCAAAGTTTCGATTTTTCAGTTATCAGTTCTTGGATTTTTCGGATTTTTCGACTTTGCTTTTTTGGTTCTTCGATTTCTCAATTTTCTAATTTTTTAATTTTTTAAGTTTTGGATATTTCTTTCAATTTAGGGATTTTTCGATTCTTCGACTTCTGGATTTTTTGATTATTGGGTTTTTTATTTTTTGGATTTTCAGTTTTTTGATATTCAAACTTTAGATTTTTCAATTTTTCGACTGTTTTACATTTTGATTGCTCAATTTTTCAACTTTCGATGTTTTAATTTTTCAATTTTCCAAATTTTTAAGTTTTCGATTTTCCAGTTTTTCTTTAAAATTTTTCGATTTCTAAATTTTTTGATTTCTTCCTTTATCAATTTTTCAATTATTACTTTTCTTTCTTTCAATTTGTCGATGACTCAGTTTTTTGAATATTTCAGTGTTTCGATTTTTGACTTTTGGGCTTTTCAATTCTTCGATTTTCCAATTTTTCGATGTTTCGAGTTTTCAGTTATCCGATTTTTCTATTTTTCAATTTTTTAAAATCTGAGCTTTCGATTTTTCGACTTTTAAATTTTAGATTTTTATTTTTTAACTTTTTGACATTTGGATTTCTGGATTTTTCAATTTTGCGATATTTTAATTGTTCAATGTTTTAAATATTAGATTTTTAGATTCTCGATTTTCTGATTTTTCAGTTCTTCGGCATTTCTATTTTCCAATTTTTCGAATTTCGGGGTTGCTAAATTTTTAGTTTTCCGATTTCTCAATTAACCTATTTTTGATTTTCCCATTTCTCGACTCCTCAAAGTTTCGATTTTTCAGTTATCAATTCTTGGATTTTTCGATTGTTTGGCTTTGCTTTTTTGGTTTTTCGATTTCTCAATTTTCCATTTTTTTAATTTTACAATTTTCGGATATTTTTTTCAGTTCTGGGGTTTTTAAAAATTTAGATTCTTCGATTTTTCGACTTATGGATTTTTTCATTTTTCGATTTTTTATTTTTTGGATATTTAGTTTTTCGTTTTTTAAATTTTAGATTTTTCAATTTTTCGACTGTTTTATATTTCGATTTCTCAATTTTTCAATTCTCGATGTTTTAATTTTTCAATTTTCCGTATTTTTCTTCCTTAAAATTTTTCGATTTTCCAATTTTTTGATTTCTCCATTTATCATTTTTTCAATTATTACTTTTCTTTCTTTCAATTTGTCCATATCTCAGTTTTTTTGAATTTTTCGATGTTTCGATTTTTGACTTTTGGGCTTTTTAATTCTTCGATTTTCCAATTTTTCGAAGTTTCGAGTTTTCAGTTATCCGATTTTTCAATTTTTCAATTTCTTAAAATGTGAGCTTTCGATTTCCCGATTTGTCGATTATACAATTTCTCGATTTTTAAATTTCAGATTTTTATTTTTTGACTTTTTCATATTTGGATTTCTGGATTTTTCAATTTTGCGATATTTTAATTGTTCAATGTTTTAAATATTAGATTTTTAGATTTTCGATTTTTCAATTTTTTCGAATTTCGACGTTGCTAAATTTTTAGTTTTCCGATTCCTCAATTAACCCATTTTTGATACTTCCATTTCTCGAATTCTCAAAGTTTCGATTTTTCAGTTATCAATTCTTCGATTTTTTGACTTTGCTTTTTTGGTTTTTCGATTTCTCAAGTTTCCAATTTTTTAATGTTTCAATTTTGGGATTTTTCAATATTTCGATTCTTCGATTTTTTATTTTTTGGATTTTTAGTTTTTCGTTTCTTAAAAATTTTTCAATTTTTCGACTGTTTCATATTTCGATTTCTCAATTTTTCAACTTTTCGATATTGTAATTCTTCAATTTTTAGAGATTTTTCGATTTCTCGAGTTTTCAGTTCTCCTATTTTACTTTTTCAATTTTACGAATTTTTAAATTTTCGGTTTTTCAATTTTTTCAACTCTCGATTCATCGAGATTCGGATGTTTCGATATTTTGATTGTTCAATCTCTCGATTTATCAATTATTCTATTTTTAACTTTTCGATTTTTCGATTGTGACCTATTTATATTTCGAAACATCGAAAAATTGGAAAATCGAAAATGTAAAAATTCCAAAAATTGAAGTATAGAAGAACTGAAAACTCAAGAAATCGAAAAACCTAAAATTTTAAAAATTGAAACCTTGAAAAATTAAGAAATCGAAGTATAAAGCAGTCGAAAAATTTAAAATTTAAACAACGAAAAATTGAAAATCCAAAAAATAAAATATCGAGAAATCGAAAAATCCAGAACTCAAAAAATTGAAAAGTCGAAATACTAAAAAATCCTAAAACTGAAATATCGAAAAATTGGAAAATAGAAGAAAAACCACAATAAGAACGAAAATCTAAAATTTAAAAATCGAAAAACGGAAAAATCCACACATCGAGAAATCGAAACTTGAAAATTTAATAAATTGGAAAATTGAAAAATCGGATAATTAAAAAATCTTAACTTAAAATGTCCTGTAGTGTCACTCTTAAATTTAAATACGATAAAATTAGCGCATCTTAAATAACGCTGATCAACAAAATCTTTTTTCGTATCTAATACGTGTACTACATGTACTTATTCTTGCTCATTCTGAAAACATTTTCAGGTTTTCCACTGCGTCATAATTTCGAGAAATATTTGATAATAGATTTCTCCTGAAACGTATCAGTTTTTTCACCGAATGTAGTGATAAGCAAAAGGTAACTAAACAAAGTGGAAAACAGACATGCTGTCGGTTACTGATAAGCAGTAATATGGGAAAGTTCCACAGCTCAATATAAATAGAGCGTGACAAAAAAATCGCTTAAATACTTATTTTTTTCCATTAAAACTGAAAATGCGAATTTGAAATTGAAAAGCCCGCTCGCGCAGGCGCACTCGCGATTGGTCCCCACCTCGCCTCACCCGATCGGCCACCAGGTGGCGCGTCAAGGTGAGTTAGGTTTATTTATAAATCGCTATTAATTTCTTGTGTTTATCGTTTCGTTTACGGTCATTCCTTAGAAGGTTCCGATTGTTTAGTTACGTGACAGTGTTTGTTATTAATTAGTTTAAAGAAACACAGTGAAAATGCCGGTTTTCCACACGAAAACTATCGAGTCTATTTTGGAACCCGTTGCACAACAGGTAAAGAACTAAACCCCCAATTAATCAAAAAACCAATTAACCAAACATTTCCGTCGTGGGCGCTCTTAACAGTCCCTCCGTATCAAAAAAGACACTTCCGGCCCATATATCCGGCAAATTTCAACAGGATCAAAGTGGGTGTTGCCTGCCAAACAATCGACCGTCGTTCCAAACGTCAATTAAACCCGCGTTTTTCGCCCCGAAATCCCGTCTCTCCACACAAAAACAGCTCCAAACGGGTTTATTGCGCTACCGTGCCCCATTTACCGACGTCTGTTTACCCAACTTTTACCACTCCAAATAAGGTTATGTCTCCCATTGTGTTTACCACTTGCTCAAATTTATTCACTCTTATCTCGCCTAGGGTTACGCCCACCTCGCATATGTCCGCATAAATTAACGAGTTTTTGTTAAAGGTCTCGAAACTGGTCATTTTGCACGAAGAAGCCGAAGATGGAATTCCTATGCCAGACCTGGAGCAGCCCGTCCGGAGCGTCAGCACTGCCGTGTCGAACCTGGTCAAAGTCGGCAGAGAGACAATCAACAGCTCGGATGACCCCATCCTGCGCCAGGACATGCCGGCGGCCCTGGTCCGGGTGGAGAGGTCCTCGAAGCTCCTCGAAGAAGCGAGTAGCATGCTTAAATCCGACCCCTACTCTTCACCGGCTAGGAAAAGGCTGATCGAGGGCAGCGGCGGGATTCTGCAAGCCACCTCCGCGCTTCTTCTGTGTTTCGACGAGTCGGAAGTTAGGAAAATCATTAGGGAATGTCACAGAGTTCTCGATTACTTGGCTGTGGCTGAGGTTATCGAAACCTTAGATGAGTTAGTGCAATTTTTGCGCGATTTGAGTCCTTGTTTGAGTAAAGTCAGTCGCGAGGTTAGTGCGAGAGAGAAGGAGTTGACGCATCAGGTGCATTCGGAGATTTTGGTGCGATGTCTCGAGCAGGTCAAGACTTTGGCCCCCATTCTCATTTGCTCGATGAAGATTTATATCCAGATAGTGTCTCAAGGTAAGAATTCAGTGTGGCAGATGTCATGTTGATGTCATTAATGAGAAAAGGGTCACACCTTGGGTCAATATTTTAACGGCGATTGGAAGTTTTTTCTTCTAAGTACCAGAAGCAGTTCTAAAAAGTTTTATATCAATATTTATTTAACAAAAATTGAACTGAAGTTATCTAGACAGAACTTTCTTTGCCACTGACGCTTGATCAAATACGCTCAGTATATTGAATAAATAATAAATTAAATTTTGCGCGTCTTATGTAGGCTGTAGGTATTTAGCAAAATTTTGAGATGAAGTCATAGAGTTTGTAGAGGGAATAAATAGGTTTACTGTCTTTATGGTAGCATTAGGACGTTTTCAAAATTCACATAATTTAAGTTTATATTTTCTGAGATATAGGTCCAAAATATCTTGTACATGGTCAGATACTGTGGCGAATTAATAAACCCCTAGTACAGAAGCTTATTTACTTATAAAATTTAAATGACAATGCTTATCTGTTTTATTTTTTATGAATTCAAAATGAAAAAAATATTGAAATGTTGTATGTATATCATTCTAATCACAATATTTAATAGTCTATTAAAATTAATTGAAAAATATATACATGGTTCAATTAAACAAATGTAGGTTTGCCACGCCCCTTCAAGCTAAAAGCAATGGCGTTGACAGAATTTCAATGTCCTCATCCGTTTTCAAGATAACGGAAAGTTTTCATACTAGAGTTCGTAGTTGTGATGCAAATGAGGTTATGGAAATTTTTGGGATAAAAAATCAAAATTGTAGGTTGACAATTTTTCGAATTTCCGATTTTTCAATATTTGATTTATCAATTTTTCGATATTTCAGTTTTGGGATTTTTTCACTTTTCTTTATTCTTTCTTAAATTTTTCCGTTTTTCAATTACTCAATTTTTCGATATTGAGGGTTGGTATTTTTCAATTTTTCGATTCTTTAATTTCTTGATTATTCAAATTTTGGATTTCTCGGTTTCTTCATTTTTCCATTTCTCAATTTTCCGATTTTTTTTTCGATTTTAAAATTTTTCAGTTTTTGACGTTTTGGAATTTCAATTTTTCGATTTCTCAATTTCTTGATTCATTGATTTCTTCTCGATTTCTTGACTGTTCAATGTTTCAGTTTCTCTCTCGATTTTTCAATGTTTTGATTCTTCCATTTTTTAGTCCATTTTTCAATATGTACTTCAGTTTCGGGATCTTGCAATATTTCGGTTTCTCAATTTTTCAATTACTCAATTTTTCGATATTTTAATGTTGGAATTTTTCAATTTTCGGATTCTTCAAATTATCGATTTTTCGATTTCTCAATTTTGCAATATTTCACCTATACGATTTTTTAATTTTTCGACTCTTCAATTTTTCAGTTATTGACATTTCTAAATTTAAAATTTGTATTTCATTTCTCAATTTTTCAATTCATTCCCTCGATTTCCCGACTTTTCTATGTTTCAATTTTTCAGTTTTTCAGTTCTTGAATTTTTCGATTTTGAGGTGTTTGGTTTTTTAATTTTCCGATTTTTCAGCTTTTGGTTTTTTCGATTTTTCACTGTTTCGATTTTTGTTCCATATTTCAATGTTTTAGTTTTGGGATTTTGCAATATTTCAATTTCTCGATTTTTTATTTTTTCGATTTTTCAACTTTTCGACATTTCAGCATTTATCGTTTCTTCAATTTCTCGATTTTTCAAATTTTCGATTTCCCCATTTTTCGTTTTCTCAATTTACCGGTGTTTTAGTTTTTCGTTTTTTTTTTTAATTTTTCAGTTTTTCAATTTTTGACGTTCCTAAGTTCTCAATTTTTCTATTTCCCAATTTCTCGATTAACTGATTTTTTTATTTTTCCATTTCTCATTTTCACCACTTTTCAATGTTTGACAGTTTTTCAATTCTACAAATTTTAAATTTTTGACGTTCCTAAATTTTCAATTTTTTATTTCTCAATTTCTCGATTAATTGATTTTTTGATTTTTCCATTTCTCGGTACTTCGATTTTTCTTTCAATGGCTCTATTTTTCAGTTTTTCAATTCTTGAGTTTTTCGATTTTCAGATTTTTGATTTTTCCATTTTTCGATTTTCAACTTTTCGTTTTCTCGACTTTTCGATTCTTCCTTTTTTCAATATTTCAGTTTTGGAATTTTGCAATATTTCATTTCTCGATTTTTTATTTTTTAGATTTTAGTTTTTTCAATTTTCCGATTTTTTGATTTTTCGATTTCTCTATTTATCAATTTTTCGATATTTCAATTTTTCGACTCTTATTCAAATTTTCGATTTTTCAATTTTTCAGTTTTTCAATTTTTGACGTTTCTAAATTTTCGATGTTTCAATGTCTCGATATCTCGATTTTTCACTATTTCCATTCTTCAATTTTTCTTACATTTTTCAATACTTTAGTTTTGGCATTTCCAATATTTCGATTTCTCGATTTCTTATTTTTTTGATTTTTAAATTTTAGTTTTTACAATTGTTTGATTTTCCATTTTTTCTATATTTCAGTGTTGGAATTTTTCGATTTTTCGTTTCTTCAATTTTTCGATTTTTCAAATGTTTCATTTTTCGATTTCTCAATTTTCCAATTTTTCTATTTTTCTTCTCTTGAAATTTTCGATTTTAAAATTTTAAATTTTTAAATTTTTGACGTTCCTAAATTTTCAATCTTTTCATTTTTCAATTTCACGATTAATGATTTTTTGATTTTCTTATTTCTCAATATCTCGATTTTTCAATATTTCGGTTTGTCAGTTTTTCAATTCTTGAGTTTTTCGATTTTAAAATTTTTGATTTTAGAACTTCGTTTTCTCGATTTTTCGAATCTTCCTTTTTTCAAAATTTCAGTTTTGGGATTTTGCAACATTTCATTTCTCGATTTTTTAATTTTTTAATTTTCCTGTTTTTACATTTTTCGACTCCTCAGATCTTCGATTTTTCAATGTTTCAGTTTTTCAATTTTTGACGTTCCTAAATTTTCAATGTTTCAATTTCTCGATTAATTGATTTTTTGATTTTCCCATTTCTCACTTTTTGGTGTTCCGATTTTTCAATTTTTGAGTTTTTTGGTTTTCAGGTTTTTGATTTCTCAGCTCTTCCTTTTCTCAACTTTTCGTTGTCTCGATTTTCACTATTTCGATTCTTTAGTTTTTCTCCCAATTTTCAATATTTCAATTTTGGCATTTGCAATATTTCCATTTCTCGATTTTTTATTTTTCCTATTTTTAAATTTATTTTTTCAATTTTTCGAAATTTCAGTGTTGGAATTTTTCGATTTTTCAATTTCCCGATTTTTCATTTTTCGCGATTTTTTTTTAAATTTTGGATTCACGATCTCTTTTTTTCAGTTTACATTTTTAGATTTTAGTTTTTTCAATTTTATTTTTCGTTTTTTCTTATTTTTCAATTTCTCGATTTTTCAATTTTCGATATTTTAGTCTTGGGATTTTTCAATTTTTCGACTGTTCAAATTTTCAGTTTTTCAATTTTTGATGTTCCTAATTGTTTGAATGTATCAATTTCTCGATTTGATTTTTTTATTTTCCCATTTCTCGATTTCCCTACTTTTCAATGTTTCGATTTATCAATTTTTCAATTCTTGAGTTTTTCGATTTTCAGGTTTTTGATTTTTCAACTTTTCGTTTTCTCGACTTTTCGTTCTCCCGATTCTTCAATTTTTCTTCTATTTTTCAATATTTCACTTGTGACATTTGCAATACATTTTTCAATTTTTCGATATTTCAGTGTTGGAATTTTTTTTTCGTTTCTTCAATTTTTCGATTTTTAAAATTTTTCGTTTTTCGATTTTTAAATTTTCACTTTTTCAAGTTTTGACGTTCCTAAATTTTAAATTTTTTCATTTCTCAATTTCTCGGTGAATTGAATTTTTGATTTTCCCATTTCTCGACTTTTCAATGTTTCATTTAAATTTTTCAGTTTTTCAATTCTTGAGTTTTTTGATTTTCAGAATTTTGATTTTTCAACTTTCCGTTCTCTCGATTTTTCACTGTTTCGATTTTTCAACTTATCTTCCATTTTTTAATATTTCAGTTTTGGCATTAATTTGCAATATTTCCATTTCTCAATTTTTCATTTTTCCAATTTTTAAATTTTAATTTTTTTAATTTTTCGATATTTCAGTATTAGAATTTTTCGTTTTTTCATTTCAAATTTTTGATTTTTCGATTTCTCAATTTTCTGATTTTTCAATTTTTTGTTTCTTCAAATTTTCGATTTTTAAATTATTAGTTTCTCTATTAATTTATTTTTTTATTTTCACATATTTGTCGATATCTGGACTTTTCAATATTTCTGTTTTTCAGCTTTTCAATTCTTCAATTTTTAGATTTTCAGGTTTTAGATTTTTTGACTTTTTGGTTTCTTGATTTTTCAATTTTTCGATTTCTTAAATTTTCAATGTTTCAGCTTTAGGATTTTGCAATGTTTACTTTTTCAATGTTTCAACTTTTAGATTTTTTTGAATTTTGCGTTTTTCGATTTCTCAATTTGTCCATTTTGGCCTATTTCGATACCTTGATTTTTCGATTTTTTGACTTGTCCCATTTTTCCATTTCTCGATTTCTCGATCTTTTGATGTTTCGATTTCTCGATGTTTCAGTTTTTGAATATTTCAATGTTTTGATTTCTCGGTTTTTCGATTTTTCCTTATTTCAGTTTTGGAATTTTTCAATTTTTCGATTCTTCAGTGTCCCGATTTTTCATTTTTTGCGATGTTTTAAAATTTCGGATTTTTGATTTTATTCGATTTCTCGATTTTCAGTTCATCTATATTTCTATTTTTCAATTTTTCGAATTTTGACTTCAATTTTTCCATTTCGCAATTTCTCAATTCATTGATTTCTTGATTTCTGGACTTCTCGATGTTTCGATTTTCAGTTTTTCTGACTTTTTATTGTTTCGATTCTTCAATTATTTTTGTTTTTCAATATTTCAGTTTTGGAATTTTGCGGTATTTCGATTTTTCGATTTTTTAAATTTTAGATTTTTCAATTTTTCGTTGCTTCAAAATCAGGTTTTTGATTTTTAGATTTTTTCCACTTTTCGTTTTTCTGACTTTTCACTGTTTCGATTCTTGAATTTTTCTTATTTTTCAATATTTCAGTTTTGGAATTTTGGGGTATTTCGATTTCCCGATTTTTTAAATTTTAGATTTTTCAATTTCAGTTTTGGGATTTTTCAATTTGTCGATTTCTCCATTTCTCAATTTCTCAGATTCAACTTTTCGCTGTTTCGGTTTTTAAGTTTTTCAATTCTTCAATGTTTCAACTTTATTTTTTGACTTTTCGGTATCTGGATTTTTCAATTCTTCGATTTTTAAATTTTAGATTTTTCAATTTTCGTTTTCTCGATATTCAGTTCGTCGATATTTCTATTTTTCAATTTTTCGAATTTTTAATTATTTTGATTTTTCAGTTTTTCAATTTTTTAAATTTTACACTTTTCGATTTTATGAGTTTTTGATGTTTGAAATAAAAACTCTCATACTCTTGCATGATTCTCACATTTGAAATTGTTTAAAAATATTTTTCAAAGTCGGGAACAAGAAATAATCCACAATTTACGTTGTTAAGACACGAAATTATAGGCAACCCACCAGAATTTGAAATATATAGGGTAGATAGCCTCTAAAGAAAAAAAAAAATGTTTAATAGGCATTCGAAACTAATTTATTTTAATTATAATTTAAGGAGAAGAAAATTTTTAAACCAATTGCAAAACTTAACGTTTTCTTCTTTTTTGTCCAACTTGAGTGCCTTCTTAAAAAATATTAACATATGCATTTAAGAACAGTGTATTTGATTCATGCTATTAAGATGATAGACCTCTAGAAGTGGACTATACAATGCTGTATCTGTTAGGGAATGCGTCGAGTGCTTGACCTTGCCACTCTTAATTAATTATTTTCACTTTATCGTTGACTACGGACGTTTCTCATTATGTTGGAAATATAACCATATCAATATAACGTCGGTTAAAAAAAAACCGGAGACATAATTACCAACTAGACAGCGATTAATAGTCAAGCTTGTTTTATTAAATGACATGTTATAAATAACTTAATTCATTTGCATAAACATTATTCTGTTCTGTTCTATTTAGACCAACTTTAACCAACCGTTTAAAATTGTTTTCATTTCCATAAACTATCGATGCGTCAGGGGTTCCTCAACACCTCCGCTTAACACCATTATTCTTCTCGCCCTTTATCAATGACATCAATACTATCGCCAACGCATGCACATACCGCTCCCACACTACCTCATCATCATAATTATTATTCTCCAGGGGGCAAACGCGCCGAAGAAGCCATCGAAAACCGGAACTACCTGGCCCAACGAATGACCGACGAAATCAACGAAATCATCCGAGTTCTACAACTGACGAGCTACGACGAGGAGCAATCAGACCTGGACAATCTGACCGTTTTGAAGAAGTTGCAGAACGCGATCCAGAACAAGATTAACACTGCCAACGATTGGCTGCTGGATCCGACGGCGGTGAGGGGCGGCATCGGCGAGAAGTCGCTAAGACAGATAATCGAGGATGCTCAAAGGGTGGCCGAGAGGTGCCTACCCCAAGATGCCCACAGTATTAACAAATTGTGTTCAGAACTGAATACGATGACGGATGCTTTGTGCGAGCTGAGGCAGGACGGGAAAGGGTCGACTCCGCAGGCCGAGTCTTTGGCCAGGGGGATCAAGGAGAAGTTGGGGCACTTGCAGCAGGCGGTGTTGAATGCCGTGGTGGCTGTGGATAAGGCGGGGCTCCAGCAGACGGCTCATACCGTTCAAGGAAGGTGGGTTTTTTAAGAATGGTGCATTGTCCTTGACGATTGTCTGATTTTTGGAATTATAGGTTGGAGCAAGCCCGGAAGTGGTTGTCGAATCCGGGGCAAGATGATAAGGGTCTAGGGCGTAGGGCGATTGCGTTGATTGTGGAAGAAGGGAGAAAGGTGAGTTACTTTTTACTTTCTGTCTGTCTGTCGGTCTGTCGTCTGTGTTAGTTTTTATTAGACACATAATCTCCGAAACTACTGGATCGATTGTTTTGATTTTGTATGTATATTAGGAATGTTATGAAGATGGTACGACGCTAACCAAAATTTGCTTAATCATCCCTACCACCAATGGGATGACGTCATCTGCAAAATTTACAAGAATTATTTTTCTAAATTACTCACTTGAAACAAACACGTAGCATGCTTCTTTATATTAAATTTAATATTACATGCATACCATTATTTTAACTTTTAAAGGTTTATCATAAAAAAATAAAATTCGCAAATCAAATCCTCAAATTTTTTGATATCACAATTTTTCGTTTTTTCAGTTTCCTGCATGTTTCCGTTTTTGCATTTTTCAATGTTTCTGTATCATAATTTTTCGTTTACCCACATTAATTTTTTCAATTTTGCAATTTTTCGTTTCCTCAATTTTTCATGTTTTTGATTTTTATTTTTCATTTTTTTTTCCACTGTTCCGAGTTTTTTTCAAATTTTCAATCTTTGATACCTCGATTTTCCAATTTTTAAATTTTTCAATATTTCGTTTTGATTTTACTCTTTCAAATTTTAATCTTTCGATTTTTGAATTTTTCATTTCCTCAATTTTTCAACTTCTTGATTTCCAATTTTATGATTTTTCAAAGTTTTCATTTTTAATTTTTCAATTTTACGATGTTGCAATTTTCCATTTAGATTCGAAAAGTTGAAAAATCGAAAAATTGAAAAATTTCACATTGAACAAAAAAAAAATTACAAAATCAGAATATTGAAGAAACCGAAAAATTGAAAAAAAAAAAATAGAGAAAATAAAAAATCAAAAAGAAAAATCTAAAAGTTGGAAAATGGAAAAACTGAAAAATAAAAGAATGAAAAATTGAAAAATCAGAAATCGAAAAACTGAAGAAACGAAAAATTGAAAAAACAAATATGTGTGAAAATAAAAAAAAACCGAAACGAAAAATTGCGTATCGAAAATTTGAAGAAATGAAAAATTGAACAATGAAAAAATTGAAAAGCCGAATAAATGCAAAAATTATAAAATCCAATAATTGAAAAATAACAAAAATTGTAAAATCGTAAAATTGAAAAAGTGAAATATTTTAAAAGTTACTATTATTATGATTACAAATTTAAAATGAAAACTAGAAAAATTACAAATCAAAAATTGAAGAAACGAAAAATTGAAAAATCAAAATTTGGAAAAACCGAAAAATTAACAATTCTGAAAGTTGAAAACAGAAAAATTGAAAAACTTCACATTGAAAGAAAGAAAAATTACAAATCAGAACACTGAAAGATCGAACAATTGAAAAAAAAAAATAATAATAAAGGACCGAAAGAATACTCGAAGAAGTGAAGAAATGAGAAATTGTTAAATCGAAAAATTCTAAAATTTAAAATTGAAACATCCAAAAGTTGGAAAATCGAAAAACAGAAAATTCAAAATGAAAACACCATTAGTTGCATTTCGTAAAATAGGAAAAATCGAAATTGAAAAACAAGAAATTACAAAATAGAAACTTTGTAAAATAGAAAAACTGTAAAAATCAAGAAAATTAAAAACAAATCGAAAATTTAAAGAATTGAAAAATTCAAAAATTAAAAATCTAGAAATTGAAAAGTCGAATAAATGAAAAAGTTATAAAATGCAATATTGAAAAATGAAAACTTTCTAAAATCGTAAAATCGAAAAAGCGAAATATTTAAAAAATATTGTTATTTAAAATGTAAACTAGAAAACCTTCAAATAAAAAAATTTAAAAGTTGCAAATCGGCAAATTGAAAAAACGAAAAATTAAAAAATTAAAATTTGGAATAACCGAAAAATTAACAATTCTGAAAGTTGAAAACAGAAAAATTGAAAAACTTCACATTGAAAGAAAGAAAAATTACAAATCAGAACACTGAAAGATCGAACAATTGAAAAAAAAAAATTAATAAAGGACCGAAAGAATACTCGAAAAAGTGACGAAATGAGAAATTGTTAAATCGAAAAATTCTAAAATTTAAAATTGAAACATCCAAAAGTTGGAAAATCGAAAAACAGAAAATTCAAAATGAAAACACCGTTAGTTGCAGTTCCTAAAATAGGAAAAATCGAAATTGAAAAACAAAAAATTACAAAATAGAAACTTTGTAAAATAGAAAAACTGTAAAAATCAAAAAAATAAAAAACAAATCGAAAATTTAAAGAATTGAAAAATTCAAAAATTAAAAATCAAGAAATTGAAAAGTCGAATAAATGAAAAAGTTATAAAATGCAATATTGAAAAATGAAAAAATTCTAAAATCGAAAAAGCGAAATATATTGTTATTTAAAATGAAAACTAGAAAACCTTCAAATCAAAAAAATTAAAAGTTGCAAAACGGCAAATTGAAAAAACGAAAAATTGAAAAAATTGAAGTTGAGAGAACAAAAAATTATAAATAACACCCGAACAATGAAAAATCGAAAAATTGTAAAAAAAAATTAAAAAACCGAAAGGAAAAATTGATATTCAGAAAATTTGAAGAATTGAAAAGTCGAATTAATGCAAAAATTATAAAATCCAATAATTGAAAAATGGAAAAGTTGTAAAATCGAAAAAATTGGAAAAGTGAAATATATATTTTAAAAATTATTATTATTATTATTACATATTTAGAATGAAAACTAGAACAATTGCAAATCAACAATTGAAGAAACAAAAAATTTAAAAATCGACAGTTGAAGAAAAGAAAAATTAAAAATTCTGAAAGTTGAAAATAGAAAAATTGCAAATCCAAAAATTGAAAAACTTCACATTGAAAGAAAGAAAATTTACAAATCAGAACACTGAAAGACCGAACAATTGAAAAAAATAAAGAACCGAAAGAATAATCGAAAAAGTGACGAAATGAGAAATTGAAAAATTGAAAAATTCTACAATGTAAAATTGAAACATCCAAAAGTTGGAAAATCGAAAAACAGAATATTTTAAAATGAAACACCAATGGTTTCGTTTCGTCAAATTAAAAAAATCGTCAAGAAATTATAAAATAGAAACTTTGTAAAAGTCGAAAATTTGAAGAAATGAAAAATTGAAAAGTCGAATAAATGCAAAAATTATAAAATCCAATCATTGAAAAATGAAAAAGTTGTAAAATCGTAAAATTGCAAAAGTGAAATATTTTAAAAATTATTATGATTATTATTTAATATGAAAACTAGAAAAATTGCGAAGCAAAAATTGAAGAAACGAAAAATTTAAAAATCCAAAATTAAAAATTCTGAAAGTTGAGAACAGAAAAATTGCAAATCAGAACACTGGAAGACTGAAGAATTGAAAAAAATTAAAAACCGAAAGAATAATCGAAAAAGTGAAGAAATGAGAAATTGAAAAATCGAAAAATTCTAAAATTAAAACTGAAACATCCAAAAGTTGGAAAATAGAAAAACAGAGTAATTAAACATGAAAACACCAATAGTTGCATTTTGTAAAAATGACAAAATCAAATTGAAAAACAAAAAATTATAAAGTAGAAATTTTGTAAAATCGAAAAACTGTAAAAATCAAGAAAATAAAAAACCAAAACGAAAAATTAAAGAACTAAAACATTGAAATATCAAAGAATTGCAAAATTAAAAATCGACAAATTGAAAAGTCGAATAAATAAAAAAGTTATAAAATGCAATATTGAAAAATGAAAAAATTCTAAAATCGTAAAATCGAAACAGCAAAATATTAAAAAAAAGCTTCAAATCAAAAATTGAAGAAACAAAAATTAAAAAATCATGAAACTAAAAATCAAAAGTTGAAAGAACAAAAATTACAAATTAAAAATTCAAAAATTTGACATTAATAAAAGAAAAATTGTAAAATATCAACTTTGTAAAACCGAAAAATTGTAAAAAGTAAAGAAAATAAAGAACCAAAACGACTAATCGAAACACAACTAATTAATTCTTGTTACTTTGATCATGATTATTATTATTTTTTTGTACTCATCTGGAAAATATTCTTTTTATGAATGTTAATATTATTATTATTAAATTGCAAATCGAAAACTTGAAAAATTGAAACATGGGAAAGTTAGAAAATCGAAAATCTAAAAAAATTAAAATTTGCAAATCGAAGAATTGAAGAAACAAAAAATTGAAGTTGAAAAAACAAAAAATTATAAAATCGGAACATTGAAAAATCGAGAATTTGTAACAATAAATAAAATTAAAAACAAAAACGAAAAATTGAAAAGTCCAATAAATGGGAAAAAGTTACAAAATTGAAAAATAAAATTCTAAAATCGAAAAGTCGAAGAAGTGAAAATCAATCGACTGAAAATTGGTTTCAAATCCTAGATAATCTTCCGCCAATTATGAATCCGAAATATCCGTCACGACATCAAGTCAAATTAACATGAAAAGTGGGTTCAAATTTTCCAAAATTTTCGAAAAAAAGGGTGAAATATATTCAATAGACTGAACATTCATGTCCAATTGTAGACAATCTTCCTCCAGTTACGAATCCGAAATTGCCGTCACGACATCAAGTCATATAAACGTGAAAAGTGAGTTAAAAATTTTCCGAAAAATGGTTAAAATGGGTTCAATCGACTAAAAGTTGGTGTCAAATTGTAGATTATCTTCCGCCCATTACGAATCTGAAATCGCCGTCACGACATCAAGTCAAATAAACGTGAGAAGTGAGTTCAAAATTTTCCAAAAAAATGTTTAAAATAGGTTCGATCGTCTGAAAATTTTTGTCAATTTGTAGACAATCTTCCGCCAATTAAGAACCCGTAATCGAGGTCATGACATCAAGTCAAATAAACGTGAAAAATGAGCCCAAAATTGTCAAAAAAAATGGTTAAAATGGGTTCAACCGACTGAAAATTGATGCCAAATTGTGGATAATTTGGCGGCAAATACGAATCCGAAATCGCCGTCACGACTTCAAGTCAATTAAATGTGAAAAGTGGGTTCAAAATTT